AAATTAAATTTCCGTATTAAAAAGCTACTTCTCAAAAAATAGTTTCAAACAAGTCTAAATTTAAAATTTTAATTAAAACACTAAAAATATCCAACCAACATTGATTTGCTTTTCTTAAAATGCACCACAGTGGGCCTATTTTTCTTTCAGCTATTTTTGTGCAAATCATGCTCCATAACAAGTTTCCAACTTTGCGTATAATTAAAATCAATTGCAATTTAAGAACCATCAAATACTAAATAAAAGATATTAAGAAGGAAATGGAAAAATATTTTTAAAATTGCCTAAAGTATTAAACTCACTCAAAGCTTGATCTGGAATCCAATCACCTCATCTGTGAGTTTAATACTTGGCATTGACTCGAGCAGCAAATCGAAAGGAGCATATAGATTCATTGGCTGATGAAGCTTCTTGCGAGATGTTGACAAATATCAATATTTTTGAATCACCCCTAGACAAGACTTAATTTGCAAAAAATAATCAGAATAAATAACAATAAACTAAGACAAAAAAAATGTAAATATTAGTTACAACTAATTTATTATATGATTATTTTCAAACAATATCATAGCGAAATCATAAAGATAAAAAAACTAGCATGCAGACATTAGACATTAAGTTCAACCAAATATAACAACTAGAAATCAAAAGATACATAAGAGTATCCTAAAATAACTAATGCCATAATTACCTATAGAAGATGCGTCAATTTTGAGTTTCTATAAGGTACATGATCATCCTTCTTTGCAATAGCAAATATCACATCACTCAAATAAGACAAGTTTTTATTGATCGTCTAATCAAAATACAAAAAAAATATCATCAATCCACATAAATATAAAAATATAGCACACTAAATAAGAAAAGTCATACATGAGTTTTCCTTAGACGATCATCAATTATGTAGACGTCTAGAAGAAGGGAGAAGGGCCGCCTGGAGTTCGGTCTCGGCTTTGGTGTCCACGAACAGAGAGAGCTCGAGAGAGATAAAGAGAGCGGGTGGATCCTGGGAGCCATCTCCTGCGTCACAGTCATTAGTGGTTATTCGAATACACGAGAATAGGTCTGTCCTGTTGGAAGCTGAAGACATCCAGAAGAAGGGATATTGCCAGGCGGAGTTACTTGGGAAACTAGCTGGATGATTTATTTTGGTTACATTTTTTATACACAAGCTTTCAATGCAAAAAAAAAGCAAAAAATCATTCCGTTGAGTTATCTCATCCATGAATCTTCTCTCTCTCTCTCGGTAGTTGTATTGCAAATAAAAGCTAAAATCTACTACATTGTATTTACAACAAGCTAAAAATCATTTACCAATAAATTTTTTTAGTATTTTTATCACTTTTTCAAAAAAATGTTTCAGTTTTATTTTTAGGATTCCAATTTAATTTGTGAATTTTAAATTAAATTAAAAAAATTAATAGTAAAATTTTATTAGAGTTAAAACAATTTTAATTTTTTAAATGAAAAATTTTCATATAGTTTGTGTTTATTTTTATTCACTTGAGTAAATTTTAATTTTTTCTCTGAAAAAGAGTTTCAATTTATCTAATCATTTTTTATTATTTAGTTATTATTATTCAAATGATAGAGATATAATGAGAAAATTATACTTATTAAGAGACATTGTGAGCCTCAGGATATATATATATTCCTACAAACACAAGTTGGAAATAAATTAATTTAAAACCGACGATGCCGATTCTAAGACATTTTAATATTTATTATTTACTGATATATATAATGCATTTTGATTCAAACTCCTATTTTATTTATTTAGCCAATACCTTGAAAAAAATTGTATTTGAATTTAGATCGTTTACAGATTAAATGAGATGACTATGTGAAATTTTTTTATGTCCATTTTTTCTTTCACAATCATACTTCTTTGATGTAGTCACATCTTCAAAATATTTTTAATATCCATCACAATTATAATTTTTCTTGTTTCGAACTCAAATTCCATGATTCCATCTATATGAAATCTATGATAATATGTATAACACAAAATTATTATTTTAGACATGCAAAAATCGCACTTTGACCACTATGAGAAGGAGCATAACAAAAATCTAACCCTTTATTTGGTAAGTCAAGATGACGGTTTTTGATGGAAATGAAAATACTGCTCCTAGCCAGGATGGTTTCACATATGCTTTTTATAGGAAATCATGGCACCTTATTGGCTTGCAAGTGTATAATGCGGTCTGCAATTTTTTTGCTACTGGTTCTCTCCCGAGAGGAGTTAAGGCTACTGCTATAGCTTTAATTCCTAAGAGCGCCCATGCTTCTAACATCAACGACTATAGACCAATTTCGCTTTGCAATGTTCTCTACAAAATTGTTGCTAATGTTATTGCCAATAGACTCAGAGTTACTCTTCCTCACATTATCCATGAAAGTCAATCAGGTTTCATTGCTAATAGATGCTCCACTGACAATATTATTCTAGCTGCTGAGTTACTTAGAGATTTCAAGGGAAAAAAAAGATGTTTTGTGCTAAACTGGATGTCAAAAAGGCTTTTGATACTATCTCTAGGGAATTCATTCTTGCTCGGCTCCTACAAAAAGGATTCCCTGAGAGATTTGTTGCTTGGATTAAAGGATGCATAAGTGATGTTCACTTCTCTATTTGTTTAAAGGATCCCTTCAGGGCTTTTTCAATTCTAGATCGGATCTCCGACAAGACTGCCCCTTGTCTCCCCTGCTCTTCTGCATTGCTATGGATGGCCTATCCAACATTCTCATTGACCCAGCTTCTCCTCATAACTTCAAGGGTATTCGCTGCAAAGATTTTTATATCAATCACATGATGTATGCCGACGATCTTCTGGTAATGGGGGAATCTAGTAAAGATAATGCCAATCATCTCATTAGCTGCTTACAACTCTTTGCCTCTTTATCTGGTCTCCACATCAATACAAGCAAGAGTGTTATAGTCTTTTCTTTTAATGATCCTGGCAATCAGTCAATTTGTGAGGAGCTTGACATCCATACCATCAATCTTCACCTCACTTATCTTGGTATCCCCATATCTCCTAAAAGACTTAAAGCCACTCACTTCCAACCTCTACTGAGCAGAATTTCTGCTCTACTTGCTGATTGGAAAAACAAGTTTCTTTCTTTTGCAAGTAGGGTCCAATTCCTTAAATTCACCATTACAAATTCCATTGCTTATTGGATAAGAGGATCTATCATACCTAAGGGTGGGTTGCTGCGCTATTCTCAACAAACTTTGCTTTAAGTTTTTATTCCACAACAATTTGACGGAGAGGAAATTGCATCTCATCCCATGGTCTAAATTCAATATTCCTAAATTTGCTGGGGGCCTAGGCATTCCCTCTTTTGAAGCCCTTTACTTTGGTGTATTTTGCTCAATTATATGCAGGTTTTACAACAACCAAAATCTTCTTAGCTGTTGGTATAAAGCTAAGTACATTTCTCCTTCGAAGCACCCCCACCTGCTGCCTCCAAATTCTGGCACAGAATTTCTGACACATTCTCAAAAATCAAAGGGCTGTTACAGTTTTTTGTATCTAAGCACAGCAATTTTTCTTTCCTCTGGGACCCGTGGCTTAATGGAAATTCACTTGGGGATACCTATCATTTACAGGTCCGGGATGATGCTTTAGTTAAAAATTTTATTATGAATAACACATGGCAGCTTCCCAATCATCTTCATTCGAGTATCAATGCTAGATTAAAGGTTGTGGCAATCAAATACAACAATGAGGTTTTATGGGAAGGATCTCCTAAATGGGTTTTTAAAAATTTCATTGAGTTTTTTTACTCACATTTACCCAAGGTTGATTGATTTAGTTACATCTGGTACAAGAATCATGCCCTTAAGTATGCCTGTTACACCTGGATGGCTAGAATCGGCAAACTGAAAACTGCGGATAACCTGCATCATAGAGGTATCCAACTGCCACTTAACTGCTCCCTTTGCTCGGGCCATCTTGAGAATCATTCCCATCTATTTTTTGACTGTGATTTCTCCTTTTACATTCTGAAGAATATTATGCCGGATTTTACCAGCTTCTTTTTTAAGCCGACACTGGCCCAGGCTTTGGATTTCATTGAAAACTCAATGATTCTAAATAGATCCGGAAAAGATTTCTGTTTTTTGGCCATTAGCTGCATTACTTATTACATTTGGAGGGAAAGGGGCAACCGTCGTTTCTCTAATACTAGAAACAATGTGGCTAAAGTTATTTGCAATATTTCAACGGCTATTAGATTGAAGATTGAAAAATGGAAAGACAAATCAACTCATTTACAGAATTTTCCGGGCATTTAACTCTCTGTTTTTGCTTTTTTATTTTGTTGGAGGGGTTTTTTTATCTCCACATTCCTAACGCCTTCTACTGCGAGTTTGCTGGGACTCTGTTTTCCTCCAGGTGTCTTGCTATGGCACAGATTTTGTTTTTTGGCTTTCTTCTGACCTGGGAAGCAGATTTTTGGGATTGTGAGATTTCGATGCTCATCTCACACTCCAGTTCGCTTGTGGAAATTTTTCTTCCAAATTTTCGGGTATACTACAACGTCTATAGTTGGCATAGTTGGTGGACGTTTGGCAATTAGAAAATGATGAGCAAAGTCAGTTTCTCCGAGCCTTGGAGGGCCTGCGTGGAAACCTGGCTCGCTTTTGTGGATCTTCGTTTGCAGGTTGGAGGTTCTGTGACGGCCAGATTTTCCGATTCAGTTTTTGGTATTGGGCAACCAGAGCAACCGCCTGGAATTCATCATTTTTCATACAGATTTCATATGATGAATGAGACTGTGACTACTTTCTGAGTCCATTGTTTGCCCAATGTCCTTTTTCGGTTATGCTTAGTCTTTGTGTAATTTTGTTTAGTTTTGCTGTTTTAGTTTCTTTTAGTTTCCCCTTTCACAGTTTACTTGTAATTGTTTTTTCTGCTTCTTAATATATGGGCTTTAAGCCCCGGGTTTTTCAAAAAAAAAAAAAAAATATTCAAATCATAATTTTTTTTCTTTGTAATTAGCGAGGCTCACGTAATCTGGCTTGGACTCATAGAATATTGCTTAAACTCTTAGCAGGACCGACTCAAACTCGGCTCTGACGGATTTGCACCCTAAATGCTGCGGCACTTCCAGCAGGCTCGGCTTCTAGCATTGGATTCGGATTCTGATCCGCCAAAGTCATTTTGTTAAGCTCAACGCGAACGCAGTTCAGTCTACAAAAGTACCGGCTTTTCAAGGGGTTGTGCAAACCAAAAAAAACGTTGAACTTTTCGTACCACAGCTATGGTCTCTTCTCTCCTCTGTCTCCATTACTCTTCATTCTATTTTTCAAGGTAATCTCTTCACTTGCTTTGTGGTATGTTTCCACTTTAATACCATCGTGCTCTTAATATGTTTGATGAAATGCCAAGCTCAGGTTTGAAGCATTTTCATTTCCACTATTTTATGAATTCAGGAGAACGCAAGACGTTGTAAGAGATTTATTGCTTCGTCCGGGATGTGGCCTGTCCTACTTTAGACTTTACCCAAGTCTGCTGCCTTGTTCTCCTGAAAAGCTGTTGCTGAGTTTGCGTCACAGTAAAGGCAAAAAACCTCAATTTGCTTCTGGCTCTGTTGCTGTGGAAGGTCTAGAGAGGTGATTATTTTAGTTTTTTGTTGTTAACTTTCCTTGTAGGATGGAAAGCCCGTTTCTGAATCCTTCAACGGATGCATTTTTGGTTGATATCTTAGAAATGTTTTTTTTTCTTGTGTTTTTAATTAGAATGGGTTTGAATTCATCACGAGAACAAGCTTGGGTTTTTCTACAAATAGATCACTCTTGACTTGCTGATATGCTTGATATTTATCTATTAAAATAATGATGCATTATCTGAGACAGCTTTTCATTATTCTTGTATCGTTTGATAAATCTATAAATCTATGAACAAGTGATGTCATGCGCCTAAAAAGTTTATCTGATTTCTTAATAAATGCAACGGATTCTAAAAAAAATAAAAATTTAGTACTGCTTTCAACCTTCTCGTCTGATCATAGTGGCAATTCTTTTTCATCTTCCAAGTTTTACTTCCTCTTAAAAAAGAATTGAATTGGCTTTGAGTTATTATGTGAAGCTTGCCTTCTGTGTTACAAAGGTAACTAAGACATACTACTTGGATGGTGTTATCGGGTATCTTCAAAGTTAAATTTCTGGATAGGCAACTTGGACAACATTTCCACTTGGATTAAAGACTGGGCTGATAATCATTCTTGTTGTAAGATAAAATACTGCAAGGTGTCTTGGTATGACAGATTTGTTTGTTGACAACAGGTCTAAGATGCTCTGCAATTCTGATCCGAGAATTCATGATACGGATGAGTTTGTGAGTCAGTTGCAAGAATTATTCACCCAAGTCAAAAGCATGATCAAGAGTGGGAACAAAGAGGACGCCATGCATATTCTTCAAGCAAATTATGAAGCAGTGAAAGAACAGATGAATTATGGGTGTAAAGGCATAGAGCAAGCTGCTATATTGGACACCTTAGCTTTGGGATACATGGGTATTGGTGACGTCAAGTTTGTTAAGCATTTATTGAAACTGGTAATCTAGCTACATTGAATTTACAATATTTTGCATTCATGATATGGTTTATATTTGAATTTGTTAAAAATAATATTCTTGAGGGCCATGTATAGACTAATGAAGTTTAAGTATAAAATTAGTTATGAACCCAAACCAAGTCAATTGGCAAATTTGTTTCAGATGTAGTGATAAGTTGTAATGTGCCTATGCTTAAATGTCATCCGAGATTCCACATCCTTTTTATATTAAGTGATGGAAGTCATACCTGTTTATGCCCTAGAAAAGTTTACATTCTTTATGTTTATGCTTCAAGTAATCATTGGCAAAACATGAGCTTGTGGTTACCTAAAATAACCCTGCAGATTTTTAAATAATAAGGAAATTAATTCATCTGCTGTTTTTTTCTGGGGAAAATAATATCAGATGTATATGTGTATGGTGAAAACGATTGCATTTCAATGAGAACGGATTCCTCAAGCCTGTTGTACCTACAGGTTGTCTCCCATACTGTATGCCTGACTTTTAGTAAAATCATAATTATCAGCTTACAATGCACAAAACTTATGCTTTTACTATATTCTGTTTATGTTGTTCTAGTTTTTCTTTTGAGAGAAAATAATTGGTAGGTTTTTTGTCACACCCCATTTTGATCCCCTAAAGTCAACTTAGAGTGTGACAGAGAGAGAGAGAATCAGAATAAACCTATCTTTTAATAACACTCCTCCTGAAATATCTATCAGGACCAAGTGAGTAAGAAATAGTCAAATCAAACTATCACAACATCTCAAAATTTTCAAAACTTAAGACTAGAATCAATATTTCATAACTGGAAGCATATTTAAACACATCATATAAAAATACACAGTGTACTAAACTTCAAATAATATTTACATATCCAAAAGTGTTTGTACAACTTCTACTTTGACCTCTACGTACATCCAAAACATTTGTACACAAAAAGAGCAGTCAACTGTTTTGCTTAATGCCCCATTAGCTCCTTCCTATTTTATGCAGTACAATCACTGCTAATAAGCTATAGCTCAATGAAATATGCAAATAATGTATAAGAATTAATAATAACATTTTTAATAATTAATTTAAAACAAATGTAAATTATATACTAGTCATAAGAAATGCATAACATCACTTTCTATCTTGTTTACTATTCAAGACCTTTATACAAGTCATATGATGTTTATATATTTTTGCACCCATCCAGCTTTCCAATTCAAGGTTAGATCCGAATTCTCAACTTTTAGGATTTAAGTTGCTTTCTCATTCAAGGTTGAGTCTAAACTCTCAACTTTTAGAATTTCAATATTGTAGGCTTATCTCTTCTGGTCTTTCGCCTTTACTTGTACGGGCCTACCCCCATATATGGCATATCTCATTTTTTTAATACCTTTCATATTTCATAACAATCATAAAAATATGCTATTGCAATAAATGCTTGATGAATCATTAACCAACGACATAATGAAACTAGAATTAATGTCAGCAAAATTATATATAATGTGAGTTTATAATTATATAAAGTTTTTTTATTTCATATATCATAGTTTGAGTATCTCACATTGCTAGGAATTGGTTCTCCTAGACTCTATATTCTTTTCCTTTTGAACACCACCTCCACCAAACCTCTTCTTATTCAACCCCCTCTTTCCCTTAGCTCTCTTTATTCATCTACCTTTAACTTTTCCTCTCCGTTTCTTCATTGCCTTTAACAGCTGCAGATAATTTCAATCACCTAAATTCAACAACTGCAATTGATTTGCAGAAATTCTTCTAATTTGCCAAAACTAATTTTAGTTAGAATAACCACAACCCTATCTTTCTCTCTACTGATTTTTATAAATTACAGATTTCTTCCCTCCATAATTTTAGTAAATACAACTTCCAGAAATGTAAATTTCAGTTTCTAGTTGTTGTATTAAAATCAAATTTAGATTTCAACAAATATATTTTAATTAACTCTTATTTCAAAACTTAATAGCAGTACCATCTCTTCTCCTTATTTGATTTTCAACACACAAAGTAGATTTTAGCTATAGAAATTCAGCACTTACCTTTATTTTCTGAATTTTTTTCTCCACAACAGCAGCTTCACTTCCCCTTACAGAATTTTTTTCTCCACAACAGCAGCTTCACTTCCCCTTACAGCCTGTGGCTTGAGCTCCCAGGCATTGCTGAAATTCGCCTCCAGAGAATGTCGGGTAGGGAAAAAGAAATGAAAACAATGCAAATGTTTTAACTTAACTTTAATTATATAATAATAAATTAATACTAATGCTCTGCCACACATTTCTATTATAGCATTATCCCCCCTCCTCTCCCTCCTAGCCGTGTGATTGCATCCAGCCTATGTATATTGTTTTTAGTGGATTTACTATAGTGATGCATTTAAATAAATGGTTAATTGGTTTCTTGCAATGAATAATTATAGCTACGGTTAATGAAATGTGCAATTGAAATGACTATTGAAATGCCTATTAACTGAAATGAATATAGAAATATATTATTAAGCTCATAGTTTAAATATGGATATGCTTTCATTTTAAAGAAAATTCATGCTTACGTTTATTTTGAACATTTTGGATATTATATTTTTAACTATTTAAATATTCTTCATACCATTACAATATGTGCTTTTTTGTTCTTTATGTGCTATTTATTTAACTGATATATAGTTCATTTGTAAATATTAACCTGAAGCATTCCAAAAAGCAAGGTGTTATTCCTATTGATTTTTGTCGCATTTCTATTGTTGATATTATTATTGATGTCACTCCTTTGACTTATCCTTGAAACATATTTAAAAAATCAAGTAGAAATCTATATATCTACGCTTACAAGTATCTTTGTTAATGCATGTCTGTTATTCTAAAATGTTCCCTTTGTGAATAACAGCTGAAGGATATAACATCTTGTGTAGAAGATGATCAACCACTGTTGGACTCAATATTAATGCACATGGGAAGCATATCTTTAACTATTGGGAAGTTTGATGATGCTTCACTTGTGTATGACAGATGCCTGAAAATTTTAGAACGAGAGTTTGGTAAGTTGTTCTTAGAATTTATTTTGATGGTGATCATGCATAACTGATTTTGGGAAATGAAATTCCCTTCTAGATTTTGATTAGCTTTTTAGAGGTGTTTTTTCTATTGGAAAAGATTATATTTCAACTTTCAACATGCTTTAAGTCGAAATTACATCTCTCAAGTCTATATGATAATATTGTGCTCCTAAAGCATTGTAATGGTTTCTTTCTTTGTGACCCATGAAATATGAGTTTTGAGGTAGAAAAACAAAATATTTACAATGCATGAATAAAATTGCATAGCAAACCTTCCTTAGACTCTTTAGTGGAGCGCGTGTCATATATTGGTGTACTGTTTTAATATTTATATTGTTATGATAAGAATGGCTAACCCTAAATGATTGGGATAATGATAATGATGTCGAAGATGATTGTTAGAAGGGAGGGTGAATCCTAAACGGCTACATCTTTGTTGAATTATCTTACTAATACAAAATATATATGTGCCTATATATAGAAAAAAGAAAGAGCAGTTAAGGGAAGTACAATAAAAGAGATTATATCCTCAATAATGCAAAATTACAATAACAAATACTGCATGTTCCTATTATAAGTAACATACACATGAGACTTTAGATATAGTGATACTCCACAAACTCAAGTTGGCGTAGATGATGTCAATTTGAGTTTGAAAATGATAGTGACTAAAGGTAAAATTGTTGAAGATTTGTTGCCCAATTGAGAGCTGTTCTCAATCAAGGGTCATTCGATTGCCTTTTTCAGTGAAAATGCTAGTGAAGCCTGACAGAAATATTCCACTTTCAACAAAGAGTTCTTTGTTATAGTTCGGGCTTTATGGCATTGGGACCACTACTTGTTGGTCGAGGAGATCACTTTTTTTTTTCCAGACGGTGTAGCTCTCTAATGAATGAGTTGCCAAAAAAAAAATTAAAGGGGAAGCACGTTTCATGCGTGGTGTACCAAGCATCCTTTCATTTTGTTCTAAAACATAAATCCAAGTTGTGTAATCAAGTTGCTAATGCGCTTAATAGCTAACATCTACTTCGACAATCCTTACAAGCAAAGGTAATTTGATTTGAAGTGTTGAAGCAATTGTAGCCGAGTGATCCATATTTTAGCATCATTTGTGCAAATGCCAAACTAGTCCATATAATTTTTATCATATTCATGATGGCGTTATGTTTTTTCGACAATAAAATCTACATTCCCCAAGGCTCAACAAGGCTTGCAATCTTGGCCAAATGCCATGAAGGATGAATGGATGGTCATTATATTTTGGTTGGCACAAAACATGCATCTTAGTGAAATAACAATTACATTGACCTCTTATTACAAGAAATGTTAGCCACTTTATCAAGCAATTCTGAATTTGAAAACTTTCTAAGATGCAGGGTCAAAGAATCGGGGTGTATATTCCGCTACTGGTTCCCATTGGCTCTTGGGTCGACGTTATGAAATTCAGATTCTATCATGATGGTGGTAGATCGATTCTCGAAAATGACACATTTTTTGCCTTGCATCAAGACCCTTGTTGCCACTCATATGGCTGACTTATATTTTAAAGGAATCGAATATTTGCTCGGGATATCCAAAACCAGCATTTTTTACCATGACGTCAAATTTTCCAGCAACATTTGGAAGATCCTATGGGGTAAGTTGGGAACTAAACTTCAATATAGTTCAACGGCCCATCCCCAAACCAACGGCCAAATAGAGACGATCAATTGGAGCTTGGGCAATCTTCCACGTTGTTTTGTGGGGAAAAATATCCAGCAATGTGATCTGATTTTGCCCAATTAGAATTCGCTTTCAGTGGATCCACTAATAAAGCTACCAACAAGAGTCCCTTTTAAATCTGTCATGGTAGCAATCCTATGACTTTTCTTGAGTTGATTCCACAAGTCCCCACCGCCGACTACAGCTTGGATGGGGAATAATGGAGTGCTGATATTCAACAATTGCATAAACAGGTTCGAGATCTGAACCAAAAACATAATAAAAAGTATCAAACCCAAGCCACTAGATAAAAAATTGTGATTTTCAAGGAATGTGATATTGTGTGGATTAGATTACGGAAGGATCGATTTCCTCCATGTTCATTTGGGAAGCTCAAGCCTAAAGGTGATGAACCTTTTTAAATAATAAAAAAAATAATGTCAATGCCTATCAGATTGATCTTCCACGTAATTATAATTCCTTCATCACATTCGACATTGTTGATCTAACACCCTACTATGAGCCTGAAATTCCTCCTACCATCCTAGTAGAATGACAGCGGAGCTGCTGCTTGGCTCTATTCTGAAGAACCGAGCCTCGTCCAGTTCCGTCCAGCTATCTATCCATGGATACATTTGGTACAACTTAGTTATTTTCTTTTTTTATTTGTAGGTATAGCTAAATAAGTAGCTAGCTAATGTGTCTTCTATGTATAAATAACTGGCTTATGTTTTGCAAATGCATAAAGAAATAAAAATTGTTGCACTTTTTTGTTTCCATTTTGTTTTATGTTTTCTGCATCCTGAACTAAGTTCAGATGGTGCATCCAAACAAGAATTGGGTTATTGTAGCTTTAAGAGAAGTAGCTGTTTGCATAGCTGATTGTCCTTCCAGCCACCGATCTAAGCCGCTCCTTCTCAGGTAAGTCCAGTGTCACATCCACTTGCTTATCATCGTGTATGGTGTTATGGAAGAAACCTTTGAAGTGGTTTGATAGAAATTCAAGTTTGTTTTTGTGGAGTTTTTTTGGAGGCCTAGTGCTACTCATGGTTTAAAATTGCGCAATATGAGGCTCTCCTCGAGGCCCGCCTTTGCGCAATTCTAGTAAAAAGCGCCTCGATGCTTACGCCTCGAGTTTTTTTTATGAGGCTTGCGCCTCAACTTGGTTGAGGCCCGCCTCGCCTCACTAGCACGAGGCTTACATCTCACGCTATATATATTAAAACTTACATAAATGTTGAAGTAAATGCCCGACATTGGACTCTATAGGAGAGGAGGAAGGGGAGAGAGCAGTTCAACATAATGATGATTCAAATGAAGAACCCCTTAGTGATGACAGTGCTGATGACTTATGAGTTCTTATGTGATATGTCATTGCTATTTATTTTTAGAAATTGGAATTATATGTTAATGAAAAGAATACTAGGATTTGGGAAAGATTGAATTTTGAGTTGAACTATATTTCATGTTGTCTTATTATTGAGATATTTTGATTTCACTTTATATCTTATGTTTTTTTATATTTTATATTATTCACTCATTAGTATATAAAAAATTTATCATTTTATGTTTACACAATCTTTTGATTTTGAGGCTTACGCCTCAAAACGCCTTAAAGCTTACGCCTCGCCTCACGAATGAAAAACGCCTCAATACCCGAATACACAATTTTAAACATTGGTGCTACTATATAAGTGGGATTTTATTTGTGGAGATTTGGTAAGAAAATATGCCAGGTTTGGGTTTCTAACAATATATATAGATTTTTAAAATTATTTTTTTTTTGTTTTTATTTTATTTTATTTTATTTTTTATTTATATTTATTAATTTTTATTTTTTTTGGTGTCTAACAATATACCAATAGTTTGTTGATGAAAACTAGGGTTTAGGTCGATGAATGGATGGAGAGTAGGATTTAGATTAAGTTAGGAAGAAATTAAGTTTTGGGAGGTAAGTGGAAACCATGAGCTCATATTTAGGTTATATGATAAAAGAAGAACAATTCCTCACTAAAAGAATTTTGTCCGAGGAAAGCACTTAGTCATCTCAAGCAAAAGAACTCGAAATTGGAAAATCAAGCAATCTAATTACATTGCATTGATAAGTCTAATATAACTATACATAAATTTCCAAATTATCCATTGTAAATAGAGATTCAAATAAGAGTTCTTAAAATTTTTTAAAAAATTTAAATTAAAAAAAAAACAGTCATTGCACATTATAGTAGTAGTTAAAACCATTCTTTGGAATTTTAGGAGATCTACCTTGAAGCCTTGAATTGAGTATAGAGGATCAGCCATGCTTGAATTCAAATGGGGATGATTAGTTGACGGCTTGACGCCATCGAATCATCTTGAAAATTAAAAATTACAAAAAAATATTTGATTTAATTAATTATATGTTTTATTTAAGATGGTGGAACTTGGTCTAAGATCATATCATTGGCCTATTGACCTCTTGATGTTTTTGCATCAATTTCACCGCTCCACGAAAAAATTCTATTCTAAAGAGTTGAATCAAGGCAATCCTCAACAAAATCTGTGAAGGTGGATAATTCTTCCATATGAGTAGGAAGCTTTGTTGTGTATCTATTTTTATTGGTACTTCATCTGTGATGATAGATTCAATCTCAACGAAATTTGTCCAAGATGTAAATGATGATCATGATCTCCTACAAAAAAGTTTTTCTGTAGGTCAAGGTCATATAATTCAACGATAAGGCAATACATCTTCAATAGTAAATACTAGACTAATAAGCATATAGGGTGGAAATTCAAGATAGTGTTCATAATGTCCAAGTTATCTAGCAATTTTAAAATGGTCATAGGCACTTGAAGCTTTTGTATTTAGTAATAGCATAACATTCAAGATGAATGTGTATTAAAACATAATCTCCCTAATGTTGGTAGGTAAAGATCCCATTACCAATGCTTTTACCTATTTTGTCAAGGTTTTATTTACCATCTCATTCATTACTAACTTGAATATGATATTTTCTAACCTTTTGCTAAAAATTTATTTCATTTACAGGTGAGGATAACCCTTTCCTCATAACTCCACTTATGGGAAGGGCAAAAGTCTTCAGATTAACTGGGCGGATCACTAAGGCAGAATCTATTTATCACCGGGCAATTAAAATCTTGGAAAAGTGTAGAGGAATGGAAAGCGAGGAGCTGGTGGTCCCTCTATTCGGCCTTGGTGATCTCTACATTAGTGAAGGGAAGGCAAGAGAGGCTGAGTCTTGCTTTAGCAGGTCAGACTATTCTAGATTTAATATTCAATAATGTTTGATGTTACATGGAATTGTAAAATTTTGTCGTAAAACATGTTGCATTATTGGACATAAAATAATGGATTGTTGGTCTTATCATTGAATAATATGCATCTTGTAGTTGCCTTTCTGATCGTCTTGTGAATGTTTGATTAGACAATAAAGGAGGTTGTCATCAAATAATGAGATACAACCACTTTTGTGATAGATATTGAGGTCAACTCAAATTAAATAATTTATTTATGAAAAAAAATAAACCATGCAGTTTTTTTTTTTTTTTGAAATTGTTGAAATCCAGCCGTTACTAGAGGAAAGGATTTGACGGTCACAAAGAGCAATCCGTGGGAAGCACTCATGAATCACGTTGAAATGCCTTCCATAGATAGGCAGCTGATTTAGGAGGAGTTATATTTCATTATTGTGTAGTTATTTGTTTCCTTTTCTAAACATCTTGTATAGATCTATATATAGGGAAGAATTCATGCAATAAAGCTTAAGCTTTTCCCTCTCGTTCCTCTCAATTTAACATGGTATCAGAGCCAATCCGCCGGCCTTCATCGCCGACCCAATTCTGAAACCGAAGCCCTCGATCATGCAAGGAGTTGCTGCAGACGGAAGCCTCGGTTCTGCCAGTTACTTCCGCAGACAGAGGCTCCGATTCCGCCAGGCACGGTCGAAGGAGAAAAAGGGAGCGAAGTCGACGAAGGGAGGCTCCGATTACGCCAGGGTAGTCGACGAAAGCTCGAGCGGCTGGAGCTGCTCCCGATCTGACCGAAAGGGAAGTTGACGAAGGAGCGAAGCTGACGAAGTAGCGCAGGGAAGTCGTCGAAGGAGCGAAGCCGCAAGCTCGAGCTACTCCCGCTTGAGTTCCTGCATGCGTGCCCTAAGCTACCCGGTCCGTTTCTTTTAAAGAGTCCACGGCTCGGTTTGTTTATTAAACCGGTAAGGTACTTTTTCCAAAAAAAAAAAAATCAACCTTTATTGTCGATTAGAAAAATCTTGAAAGCCTTCATTGTGGTCCAAAAATCAAATAGATAGTCCTCATTACTATTATTTGATTCAAAAATGTCAGAAATTAACTCTTCTTCAAACACTGACCAACTTGAGGATTCTATGGTGCACCAAGGACGTGGTGACCTTCTAAGCATTCAGTCTTCCTACGTCTAAATGGGAAGAACTACCTGAAGTGGTCTCAATTTATGAAAACCTACTTTAAGGGGAAAGGTAAAATACATCAGCTCCTTGGAGGAAAACCAAAAGAAGGAGATCCCAAATTTGGGGCATGCAGACTCCATGATTATGTCATGGTTGTGGAATTCTATAACTCAAGAAATTAGTGATACATTTATGTTTCTTTCGACTGCAAAGGACATATGGGATGATGCCAGACAAACCTTCTCTAAAGTTCGTGATGCGGCTCAAATCTTTGAAGTTAAAGTCAAAGTTGGAAGAACGAAGAAGGGGAGTAAAATTGTGACGGAATATGCCACCATTCTACAAAATTATTAGCAAGAACTTGATCACTATAGGTGCATAGAAATCATATGTCCGGAAGATGCTGCGATCCTAAAGAACTTTATTGAAAAAGATAGAGTTTGTGATTTTCTTGCAGGACTAAATGCTGAATTTGACCAATTTAGAGTTCAGATCCTCGGCAAAGAGGAGACCCCATCACTCAACGAAACCATTTCTCTCATCCGCGTAGAAGAAAGTCGACGAGGAGTGATGTTAGAACCAAAGGTCGTTGAAAGCTCAGCAATGGTGATGAACAAAGAATCATCATGGAAGGAGAAAGGTAAAGATTCTTCAAAATTCAAAGATAAAAACTCACTTTGGTGCAGGTATTGCAAAAAATCAAGACACACAAAAGAAACATGCTGGAAAATACATGGAAAATCACCCAGTAAGGAGTGGAATCAAAAAGGTGGAACAAGGAGCATGTCGCAGGCCAACAACACTACATGTCAGCCCACCCCAGAAGCACAGTCCACCCTTGGAGAACTCAAGAGAGAAGATATTGATAAACTTAAAAGACTCTTGGTATCCCTTGAAAAACTAAATGCATCTTCCTCACTTGCACTCTCAGGTAAGTTTCCGATTTCTATTAGTTTAAGTGCCTCTAGAAATCATTTAAAGGAATTATGGATCATTGACCCAGGAGCCACAGATCATATGACCCACTCACCTAACCACTTCATCAACTATACTCCTTGTCTAAACAACAAGAAAATCATCACTGCTGATGGTTCTCTTACCACAGTAGCAGGCCAAGTAGACATAACATTATCTCCCGCACTCACTCTAAAAAATGTGCTCCACGTATCTCAATTATCCACAAATCTAATTTCAATCCAAAAACTTACCAATGATCATAATTGCTAAGCATTATTTAACCCTACCTATTGCTTATTTCAGGACCATAGATCGGGGAAGAAGATTGGACTTGCTAAGGAGAAAGCTTGATTGTATTACTTGTAAAAACTGAACCAATCTAAAAATAGCTGCTCTATGTTGTCCTTAGTTGATAAAAACTCCACTATTTGGCTTCATCATTATAGGTTAGGACACCCATCTTTTGATATCCTAAGATATATGTATCTACAACTTTTTCAGAAATTAAAAAATAAACATCTTCATTGTGAAACTTGTGAGTTAGCCAAACATAAAAGAACTTCCTTCCCAAGTAAAAATGAGAGATGTGATACTCCTTTGTACCGTATTCACAGTGATATATGAGGACCCTAAAAAATCCCCAATATCTCTGGAGCACGATGGTTTGTATCATTCATTGATGATTGCACTAGAGTCTCTTGGATCTATCTCCTCAAAAATAAATCAGATGTTAGCATCATTCTTCCCATATTTCATACCATGATCCAAAATCAATTCGGGGTGAAAATAAGAAGATTCCGCTCCGATAATGCCAAAAACTATTTTAACCAAACCATTTCCTCCTTCTTTCAAAATGAAGGGATCATTCACGAGTCCTCCTGCGTTCACGCGCCACAACAAAATGGGATTGTAGAAAGGAAAAATGGTCACCTTCTAGCCTCCACTCGAGCTTTTCTATTCCATTATAATATACCCAAATCCTATTGGGGAGAAGCTCTCCTAACTGCAACGTATCTCATAAACCGTCTTCCTTCAACAACACTTGGACTAAAAACTCCAATGGAATTTTTATCCTCATTTTACCCCGAATTTCGAACCCATCATAACTTTACACTAAAAATCTTTGGGTGCACAGCCTATGTTCATATCCATAGCCAAAATAGAGGAAAACTAGATCCAAGAGCACTTAAATGCATTTTTATTGGCTATTCAGCTACCCAAAAAGGTTACAAGTGTTATCATCCTCCTACAAGAAAAACCTTTGTTTCTGTTGACGTTAGTTTGGATGAACAAAGTTCCTATTTTTTCAAACCTCATCTTCAGGGGGAGACTGAACTTGAGGAAGATGAGGAAAATGAACTAACACCTCTTGACCTTCCTCCATCTCAAACCAATCCACATGAAAATCAGGACAAGGAAACAAAAGACAAAGCTGTCATTAGATTTGGGAAGGTATACTCCAGGCGTACAAATTCATATTATACTCCAAAGCAGATCCAAGAATCTGAACCATCTCCTGGACATAAGGTAAGCTCTCCACCTCCCTTATACCCCTATAACCAACTCTATATCCTTCAATAACTTCTCATCTTCACATAAAAATTTCTTGGTTACACTAGAAGATATCCATATTCCTAAAGATATTTCTGAGGCCTTATCTGATAAAAATTGGAAAAATGCCATGATAGATGAAATGCAGGCCCTAGAAAGAAATAAAACATGGGAAATCATCACTCTACCGATAGGAAAAAAACCGGTTGGATGCAAATGGGTATTTTCCGTAAAGTACAGAGCCGATGGCACACTAGAAAGATATAAGGCAAGACTAGTGGCAAAAGGGTACACTCAAACATATGGCATTGACTATCAAGAAATATTTACACCTGTAGCCAAGATGAACACTGTCAGAACACTACTCTTACTAGCAGCAAAATACAACTGGTATTTGGAACAATTGGATGTGAAAAATGTATTCCTACATGGGGATATGGAGGAAGAGATATTTACGGAAATACCACCAGGGTTCAAGGAAAAATTTGAAGGTGACAGAGTATGCAGATTAAAAAAGGCTCTATATGGGCTCAAACAATCACCAAGGGCCTAGTTTGGAAGGTTCTCTAAGTTTATACTCCTTAACGGGTATAAACAAAGCCAAGGGGATCATACACTATTCTTTAAACATTCAGACTTAGGGGAAGTTACAATATTGCTAGTGTATGTGGACGATATTTTCTTGACTGGAAATAATGAAAAGGAGAAAGATAGTCTAAGGAAAAGTCTTATCAAGGAATTTGACATCAAAAAACTTGGTAGACTAAAATACTTTCTTGGAATTGAAGTTGCTCACTCCAGCAAAGGAATTTTTATCTCACAACAAAAGTACATTAAAGATCTTCTAAAAGAAACAGGGAAACTAACCTGTAAGCCAGCACCAACACCAGTAGAGCCTAATCTTAAACTGGGGGAAGCTAGCGAGGATCTAGATGTGGATAAAGGAGCCTACCAGAGACTGGTAGGGAAATTAATCTATCTTTCTCACACTAGACCAGATATAACATTTGTTGTAAGCATGGTCAGTCAATTTATGCAAAATCCAAAGAAGTTTCACATGCAAGCGGTTGACAGAATATTGCACTACCTTAAAGGAAACCTAGGAAAAGGGATTCTCTTTAAGAGAGATAGAAGAATAATCCTAGAAGTATACACACGGATGCTGACTATGCAGGATCACCTGTTGATAGAAGATCTACATATGGATACTGCATATTTCTTGGAGGTAACCTAGTTATATGGAGAAGCAAGAAACAGAATGTAGTGCCAAGATCTAGTGCAGAAGCAGTATATCGAGCTATGGCTTTGGGAATATGTGA